ACACACTTTATATTACTGTCACTACCGCTCGCTTGACTCAATTATCTGTCTCTATATCTATCTATCTCTGCAATTGCGCTGGTTTTTCTCGCTAGGCTTATATACTAAAAAAAAAAGAGGGGGCCTCGAACAAACTCGAGCCTCTCCGATAATTCATGATCCTTCTAGAAACTCCAGTGTGCATGTTCCCAGAATCACAATATATTATTCACATATACTGTTCTTTCACAGCTACAAACACGTTTAATATAGAGTTTGTAGTCACGTGATCTACGCAGTATTGTCCGCGATTTTACCGGTCAAAACATTTCATTCTCTGGTCTTAGTCATCACATGTAATCCGTATACAGCGCCTCAAGTGTTATTTACACCCCTGAGACAGGCAGAAAAGCTGTCGCCTTTTGAGTTTGTCAACGTCTATATTTACCTCATAGAAAACCCATCACCACACATAGGACACTCCATGAGGGATTATAAAAGCATGAACAACTTCAAGTATTTCCGAGCTGGTACAACCAACCTCACAACGTATCTCTAGCATTGGTACAACCAACCACATAATGTATATCTAGCATTGGTACAACCAACTGCACAGCGTATGTATAGCATTGCTACAACCAACTGCAAAACGTGTCTCTGACATCTTGCAAACTAATAAATTCACCATAATATGTTGTCGCCTCAGACTATGACCGACAAACTTTTGACAGTCAAAATGGCAGAGGTCTACCCTGTGACGTCACATGCAAACCTCTATAGGATTTCAGTTTTATTTGTCTGTCTTGTATGTGGAACACTTTGTTTTAGTCTGAGTAACTTGTTTTCCTGCATATTTAAACTTCTATGGCAACAACAACATCACACGCATGGTACAGACAAATAACACTAATAAATAGAGTGGTTTGTCGTCAGGTGGATGTTAGAAAATTAAACAACTGCATGGTGAGGCCATCACCTGGATCTATGTGTCAGGGATAAAGCTAAACGAGTAGGCTGACAAGCTCGCAAGAAAAGCCCCTTTATTCTGCACAACTCTACTGCATTAGAAAGGTGAAAGTCAGATTGTAGAGCTCTGTTTTATTTGTATTTAATTAACCCTCTTTCGTTGTGAACAAATAGCTGCAGAGAGTGAACGATAGTTTTCAATTATGAGATTATTTTTCTTCAGTTGTGAGGCTTGCGAGTAGAGGTTAAGTCTGATAGACTGTATATCCTTATCACTGTGCAAGTCCAAGTTCCATATACACCTCTCTTACTAAGGGCCCCCCAGTGGCACAGCGGTATGTCTGCGGACTTACAATGCTAGAAACCGGGCTTCGATACCTGTGGTGGGCAGAGCACAGATAGCCCATTGTGTAGATTTTTGCTTAATTCCAAACAAACAAACTCTTACTAAGGTACGTTGT